GGGGGGCTGTCGGGGGAGGGGGGGGGGTCACAGCAGGGAAAGGTGGAGCCCCTGACTGACGTGAGTCTCGGCCTCTCGGGGGGATTCTCTCACCCTGACAGACGACGAGCGAAGTCGTGTTCGATTCCCACGGGAACAAAGGTTCCTGCCGGGGGGGTCGGCCGTTCACAACAGGGGGGGGCAATGTTTAAAGGTCGCACAATGGCGTCTGTCTGGCGTTCGTGATTTAAATGAGACGACTGTGACCCTGCAGGTCTGTGAGGAACGACGGGGTTCAGCATTTGTTAAACAGGTATTCTACATTTTTATCTTAAGCAAATGAGAAGAAAACCTCAAGCTCACACGATGTGACGTGTGTGTGTCCACTCCGTGTCTCATGGTGGTCAGATGCAGGTCTCAGGATGAAGAACATGAAGGTCATTGTCAGATCATTGTGCGTTTATCGCACCTCATCCCAGTTTACATGTGGGGGCTGGAAAAGAAAACCGTCAACTCTGTCTCCTGGTTGCAAACATGAAATGTCCTGTTTTTGAGGATTTTACATCATTTTTCTAACAGTGTCGCGTTTTTATGGACAACAGAAGCTCCCAAACTTTGAAACAAATATTCATTAGAAGAAAATAAGCTGTGCAAGTGAAAATATTTATTGGACTCAATAAACATTTTATGTTCTGCTGACGGCTGATCGCCAGCGAGCCGTGAAATCCTTCCACACACACACAGAGCTGGTGGGGGCGATGATGAAGGGAGATGATCTCCAGGTGAGTTCACACACACACACACACACACACACACACCTACAAAGGCACGAGCGGCAGGAAGCATCTGGTCCAGCGAGGACAGGTGTTGGAGTGTGACACCGACCACCTGCTCCTCCTTTAAGTGTCCTTTTATAGATGAAATGAATGTGTGTGTGTGTGTGTGTGTGTGTGTGTGTGTGTGTGTGTGTGTGTGTGTGTGTGTGTGTGTGTGAACCCGCGGAGGCTCTTAATTAAAACACCTGTCGGGTCTGGAGACTTGTCCATCATATCATCGATGAAAAAGGTGCCAAAGTGTGTGTGTGTGTGTGTGTGTGTGTTACTTTATTCTCAGTTACAGTTTACTACATTGAGGCAAACTTAATGTTAAAAGTATGTTTGTTTGTATCATTGTCATCGTATTAAACACTGTTATTGATACTAACAACGATCCTTCTTATCGTCCACAAAGCTCATCTCTTATTAATAAACCTCTGTGTTCACGCGCCAATAAGCACAAAATACACATTCGGAAATACGGTTCAACAATCGTATTATTTTCACAAATTACACACAGACACAAAAAGAGTGTCTCTCTCTCTGTCTGTGTGTCTGTCTGTCTCTCTGTCTGTCTCTGTGTCTGTCTCTCTGTCTGTCTGTCTGTCTCTCTGTGTCTGTCTCTCTGTCTGTCTCTGTGTCTGTCTCTCTGTCTGTCTGTCTGTCTCTGTGTCTGTCTGTCTCTCTGTCTGTCTCTCTCTCTGTGTCTGTCTCTCTCTCTGTCTCTGTGTCTGTCTGTCTGTCTGTCTGTCTGTCTCTCTGTCTCTCTGTCTGTCTGTCTGTCTGTCTGTCTGTCTGTCTGTCTCTCTGTCTCTGTGTCTGTCTCTGTCTCTGTGTCTGTCTGTCTCTGGGTCTGTCTCTCTGTCTGTCTCTGTGTCTGTCTGTCTCTCTGTCTCTGTGTCTGTCTCTCTGTCTGTCTGTCTGTCTCTCTGTGTCTGTGTCTGTCTCTGTGTCTGTCTGTCTCTCTGTCTCTGTGTCTGTCTCTGTCTCTGTGTCTGTCTCTGTGTCTGTCTCTGTGTCTGTCTCTCTCTCTGTCTCTGTGTCTGTCTCTGTGTCTGTCTCTGTGTCTGTCTCTCTCTCTGTCTCTGTGTCTGTCTGTCTCTCTGTCTCTGTGTCTGTCTCTCTCTCTGTCTCTGTGTCTGTCTCTGTGTCTGTCTGTCTCTCTCTCTGTCTCTGTGTCTGTCTGTCTCTCTGCTGCAATGGAAGAAGACGCGCGTCTTTCTGTCATTCCTCGCGACTCGACGTGGGAGCTTTTGGACCGTACGTCTCTGCAGCGTCTCGGGGGGACGTGCTGGTCAGCAGGTTGATGGACGGAGGTTCGGTCCAGATGGAGGCAGCAGGTGGTGGTCATGAGCGGCGTGGACGTGCACGTTGAAGACCTTTACGTGCGTTCGCCTTTACTTGTGGATACAAATAATGCCGTGAATACATTTCATAAGAATTAGTTTCTTTGGTGGTTTCAATGTCCTCCCACAATATCTCGAAGCTGCAAAGCTGAGGGACACCCACAGGGAAGTCAGACAGCAATGATTCCTGGACTCCGTTGCCTTTTGGTATCTTTAAAAGTATTTGTTGACAAGAAGAAACATTTTTCTGTGACACAAATCAGCGTTGAGCTTTTTCGTTTATTAAAGTCGGGGATGGAGGTTTGTGATGATGTCATCTTTTTGCAACACGTTTACGTCTACACGCTCGTCATGACGGGCCGACCGCCTGCAGGACCGCGTTCCTGTGGAGTCACAGTCAGCATGAAACGCAGCTGTGCGTGTGTGCGTACATGCGTGTGTGTGTGTGTGTGTGTGCGTGTGTGTGTGTGTGTGCGTGTGTGTGTGTGTGTGCGTGTGCACATCTGTTAATGTTGGCAGCAGATGACAGAGGAGGCTCCTCCGTGTCCCACAGGGAGAACTCACCTCTAACCGATTCATCCAGGATGTTTCTCATTCAGGAGGCGCACACACGCCTTCACCCGTCCCACACAACCAAGACGGGGACGCGAAGACAAAAGGCCAACGACTGACATCCAAGATGGAGACGGCCAATCGAGGCCATCGCGCCTTTATTCACAATGCGAGTAGTAGAACTGGCGCCTTCACACATTTTAAGATATTATGTTTACATGACATTACATGTCATTTAGTGTCTGATGTTTTATTTACATATTTAATACCTTCGTCTTTTTTAAGGGAAAAGAGTAAAAACTTCCACATGAATAAAATGTGAAATATTGTTAGTGTTTGTGCAGCTTCTTTATGCTTATGATACATACATATTTATTCAGTTTTAGGGATCACGGTCTGGGATTTATGTCCCTTCCGGTTCACCAATTTAACACCAGAAGGACCAGGAGCTCCGGTTGGGACGGATTAGACTCGGATAAATCCGTCCTCGCTGAGACGCTCCCAAGCGAAGCTAACAAACACGATCAGAGACGGACACGTCCCCCAGACACTGAACCCAGATCCCTTCTCCATGATCTCATCCATATTCCTCCAGTTGTGTCCAGCGTGAGACGTGCAGGGGACGATATCTGATAACGCTTAACAAGTCACAGACAGTTAGACATCTTTCTCACAAAGATGGACAGTTGTTGCGTTAAAGGTTGGTTTCGTTCCATTCAATTGTGCAAATTGAACCTCATTGCAACGTATTTATTGGCCTAAAAAATGCATTCAGCAAGGAGACGACTAAGAACCAAGAAGGAGACGACTAAGAACCAAGAAGGAGACGACTAAGGACTAAGAAGGAGACAACTAAGGACTAAGAAGGAGACAACTAAGAACCAAGAAGGAGACGACTAAGAACCAAGAAGGAGACGACTAAGGACCAAGAAGGAGACGACTAAGAACCAAGAAGGAGACGACTAAGAACCAAGAAGGAGACGACTAAGGACCAAGAAGGAGACGACTAAGAACCAAGAAGGAGACGACTAAGAACCAAGAAGGAGACGACTAAGGACCAAGAAGGAGACGACTAAGGACCAAGAAGGAGACGACTAAGGATCAAGAAGGAGACGACTAAGGACCAAGAAGGAGATGACTGAGAACCAAATAGTACATTAACATATACACATGTCATTTTGTATTCCACCTTATTTTAATGTTTTTAAACATGTTTATTTATCTGTAAGATTTTAATCTGTTCCAAGAGTACAGATCAAATACAATAAAATTCCTATCGGGCCTAAAAAGCTTGAATTTCAAAATAAAAGCTTTGACTGCACCACAGATGTGCTCCAGCTGTGAGGTGAAGGTGCATCGGGTGGTTGTGAGATCGTCGCGGGCCGCCGCTTCCCATCAGCACCGCAGAACCAGACACATGACAGGAGTGTGTGTGTGTGTGTGTGTGTGTGTGTGTGTGTGTGTGTGCGTGTGTGTGCGTGTGTGTGCGTGTGTGTGCGTGTGTGCATGTGTGAATCAAACTGAAAGGCCATTTTTCACTTTGTGTGTCGTCTCCTTGTTTGTCAAAGTGATCGATCGCGTCCGGCTCCTAATCTGTCCCGGCAAGCGGACCCCCCAGGTGGGGAGGGGGTCCGCCTCTCTTTATCTCCTGTTGCAGACGGGGCTGTGACCCGAGGTCACCGGGGTCACAGCCCCGGGTCTCCCGGGTGTCCTCTCGTCTCTGGGGTGTATTCTTGTCTCTCAGGTGTCCTCTCGTCTCTGGGGTGTATTCTTGTCTCCCGGGTGTCCTCTCGTCTCTGGGGTGTATTCTTGTCTCTCAGGTGTCCCCTCGTCTCTGGGGTGTATTCTTGTCTCTCAGGTGTCCTCTCGTCTCTGGGGTGTATTCTTGTCTCCCGGGTGTCCTCTCGTCTCTGGGGTGTATTCTTGTCTCCCGGGTGTCCCCTCGTCTCTGGGCTTTATTCTTGTCTCTCAAGTGTCCTCTCGTCTCTGGGGTGTATTCTTGTCTCCTGGGTGTCCTCTCGTCTCTGGGGTGTATTCTTGTCTCCCGGGTGTCCCCTCGTCTCTGGTGTGCATTCTTGTCTCTCGGGTGTCCTCTCGTCTCTGGGGTGTATTCTTGTCTCTCAGGTGTCCTCTCGTCTCTGGGGGTGTATTCTTGTCTCTCGGGTGTCCTCTCGTCTCTGGGGGTGTATTCTTGTCTCCTCTCGTCTCACCTGACTTTTAGATGAATGTTAGCAGTTAGCCCGTGCTATCTGCTCTAGCAGCTTCTGCTGTTTGTGACTCGCTGCCCAGATCCTGGAGAGCTTCCAAACAAATTACAAGACTCTCCGCCATTCCAGCTGTTAGCGGCTTTGTTTCCCAACGTAACTCCTCTGAGTGTGTGTCTGCGTGTGTGTCTGCGTGTGTGTCTGAGTGTGTGTCTGAGTGTGTGTCTGAGTGTGTGTCGTTCCCTCAGCGCGGCGCACACACTCACACAGAGTTGGCTAAGGAGCTTGTGGCATCTGGGACTTGGATTAGAAGTCCTGACAGGGAGATGGAGGACGGATTACTCCGCCTGCCTCCGGCTGTTTGTTCGAGTGAGACAGAAGAAAACAAAGGATTCGCAGCCTGAACGTCTGCTGCAAATAACTGAAGACGAAAAGCACACGATTCAAAACTGTTTCAAGCCGGAGATCTGAAACAACACAGAGTCGACTTTTCATCACTGAGTCTTCTCATTCCCGCTAACACAGCTAACACAGCTACCACAGCTAACACGGCTAACACAGCTAACACAGCTACCACAGCTAACGCAGCTAACACAGCTACCACAGCTAACACAGCTAACACGGCTACCACAGCTACCACAGCTACCACGGCTAACACGGCTAACACAGCTAACACAGCTACCACAGCTACCACAGCTAACACAGGTAACACAGCTCCCAAAGGTAAATGTTACACTGATGTCCCTGTTTCAATGCAGCCGTTCGTATTCCGTTAAAACGACCTCATCACTAATATGAAAAGTGGAACGTGATGCAAAGCAGAAGTCTCTCAGATGAGTCCTGATAACTTTACTGATCCGCTGCCTCGTCGTCCAATACTTCACAAGCAAATACCTGCAGGACTGTTCAACCTACAGTCAGCTGTTAATTCCTTTCATTTGTATTCTGTAATAATGGTTCATAAGCATCACATTAAAACATCTGGAAAATGTGACTGATTCTAACTAGATTCCTCTGCATCTGTTTACAATAATGAAGTGAATAATGACAAAGACGTTTACGCTGCAAACATTTCATTTGAGAATATGTTTAGTTGTCTGAGGGGCGCGAGTCGATACCTTTACAATACAAGTACTTTAAACAAATACCAATACAAGTACTGCACTGATCCTGTTCTACTCTCTCCTCACAGAGACTTTGAGGTCATGTGACCATGCAAAGCAGGACTCACTCTCACGCCGTTATCGCTTCTCCTCGCTCCGTCGCCTCGGGAGTGGACTCTCCGGCCGTCGTCCTCGCATTCCGGCGCCGCGGGTGGAGGTCGGGTCGATAACACATTTCATGCTGGCTGGTGTCAGCACACCACTGAAGAAGAGGAGAAACATACTCGTCAGGTGGCGAGATTGTCGTGGCGATGGCAGATAAGAGATGGTTGTGAAGCTGGTTGAACCCATCATCTCGTCATCCGTGAGGGCGCTGACCTCTGACCCCTCCCTCCCACCCTGGATGTTTCTGCGTATCACCCCCAAAAACACAAACAACAACAACAACAACTGCTTCTTTTCAAAGAGTCAAATGAAACAACGAGTTATCTTGTAAGATTATGAAGTAAAGGAACATGCTGTTTTTTAGTGACTCACTCGGATTACATTTTTTTTTGTTTTTCCATCTCAGCTCTTCTCTCATGAAACATAAAACATCATTGTCACATTTGTCTGAGGGGGTCTCACCTGCCGGGGGGGAGGCGGCAGATCGCATCATCATTCCCGGCCTCCCTATTGGTCGATAAAGCAAACTGACTTTTATTAGATGGCCAGATTTATTTTTCCCCTCGTATGACTAAACAGAAATGAACAGCGGGTGAAAGATGAGTGAAGCTTCATGGAGCCGTGGAGGGGAACGTCGCATCGGAGGCAGGACGATGGAGTAGCTCTCACACACGCAACACAACACACACACACACACACACAGACACACACACACACACACACACACACTGTAATGTACTCTGGGTCTCTGAAAAGGTTCAGTCTGAGCAGAATGCATTAAAGCAGCAGTGTGTCTCTTCGTGTCTCAGTAGGTTTCCTGTGTGACTCCAGAGAGACGTTGAATCTGCAGGAGGAGGGTAAACCCAACTGCTGGTTTAGTTATTTAAACCCGAGCGTTGGTTTGGCTGTTTAAACCTAAGCGTTGGTTTAGTTATTTAAACCTAACTGCTGGTTTAGTTATTTAAACCCGAGCGTTGGTTTAGCTGTTTAAAACTAGCTGCTGGTTTCTGAAATTCACGTCCGGCCACATTAGAAGCTCAATTAGAGTCTCAACACTCTCTTTATCCTCCACGGAGAATCTTACCATTTATTGCTTTCTTTATAGATTTCCTCTGAATACTTGTAGTTGTCTTGTTATTAAGTCCCTGAAGTCTCCTCAGCCCTGATTTCCTCTCTTCGTTGTCTGAATTCACTCAGGAGACGAGGTTCAGACGGCGTGATCCCCACGAGAAGAACGATGATATTCTGCACATCAAAAAGCATAAAGCAATGGATGAGCACCCTGCAGGGGGGGAAGGAGAAGAGACGAAAGGAACTCCATCACTGCGACCTCTACGTCAGGTTGATTGACGGGTGCTCTGAACAATGGGAGAGCGGGAGGCGGGCCCTTTGATGTTCAAAGACACTTCCTGTGGATTCTCTCTGCCGACCAGCAGCGGGCGACTCCTCGTGTTGTCTCCCTTGTGATCTCACATCTCGAGGTCAAAGGTCAAAGCAGCCGGAGCAACGAACTCATGGAGGTTTATGAGGCTTTTTGCTTCTGATAAACTGTCGACCTTAAACGTTCTAAACAAAGAAACTCTGAAGAAAACAAGAGACTGAAAAAACAAATCAATGCAATAAGTTTATTCACTCAATATGTGAAGTTGAAGAAGGAGGTTGAACCAAACATTAGACTAGACTATAGTGTGTTTTATTTTGTTACTATGTTGGTTTTATTGTGGACTTCCTGTTGTCCTCCAGTCTGCCAAAAACCTTTTTATTTGAATGTGTGAAACTTCAATGCATAGTGCGATAAAAACCCCACAATGCAATGCGTCCAGAGAACTCATCAGTTGCTAATTGCAACTTCCTCTATTATGATATAACATGTGTATTGTGTTGTTTATACTGGTAGATTTAGTACCATGAACGATTATAGACATGAGAAGAAGAAGAAGAAGAACGTTGGCTGCCTAGGAAGTGGGCTTCTTCTTTATCAGCCTCCTCCCGGTCTGTCTGGGGACAGGGGGTACAGGGGGCGGGGCCTGGGCGGCGTTGGCGCGGTCAGCCTTGACCTCGTCGATGAAGGTCTCTATTGCGGAGAACTTCTCAGTGAGGTCGCCGAGGTGAGCCTTGAGGGCGTTGAACTCCTTGTAGAGGTCGTCGAGAGCCTCGGAGAGCGGCTGGATCCTGGGGGGAGGCGGGGGATGGAGGGGAGAGAGGGAGAGGTTCACTCTGTGGCCGATGGCGTCATCAGAGGCCGCGGCTGAAACTACAATTTAGAAAGTGAAAATAGAGCTTTGGCAGAGGAAGGGTGGTGTTCCCTCCACCAGACATAAACAGCCGTGGATGTTCTCCGCCGATCTTTGTTGCAGCTTTTTCTTTTCTGTCTCTTTTCCCGTCTCTGCTTCACAGTCATTTCACAGAATACATTTGAATAAAAAGCCTGTGATGGGTTATGAAGCTGTAACGGAAAACATTGTGCATCAATGAACAGTTTTATAGTAATCATCATATTTAAACTGCTCAACTGAGCTGGTATTTAATACGAGTCAGACGTGTAATTACACACACAGCATCGATCTGAGGAATTATTGTCACAAAACATCACTGAAACTGAGCCTTTGAACTGTAGGGGCAGTAACCATGGCGACCAGGCTGCAGTCAGTTCACTATGGTCAGTGTAGGGGCAGTAACCATGGCGACCAGGCTGCAGTCAGTTCACTATGGTCAGTGTAGGGGCAGTAACCATGGCGACCAGGCTGCAGTCAGTTCACTATGGTCAGTGTAGGGGCAGTAACCATGGCAACCAGGCTGCAGTCAGTTCACTATGGTCAGTGTAGGGGCAGTAACCATGGCGACCAGGCTGCAGTCAGTGGCGCCGCGGAAGAAGGAAGTCAACATACGACACCATGGCAACGGAGAACAAACTGCTGCTGATGCACATTGCTTCACATCAGAAGATACTGAACAGATTAGTTTGTCAACTGCGGTTTCAAAGTTCAAAATATGTGTGTTTCATCGATGCAAAGATGCAAAGAGGATACGATGCCTTTTGTTACCATATGATACTTTACACAAGAAAATTTTGAGAGTTAATTTTCCGGTGTTTGGCAAAAGTGTTGAAGTGCAGAGTTGAAATCAGACTGCAAAAAAAAAAAAAAAGAGCTGCAGTCGTTATTCAGAGTCAAGATCAGATTCATTGTCGACACTTAGTAGAGTCAAACTCTTTGATCGCTTTGAAATGTAACTGTACAGTGTCACACTTCTTGGTGTTTGGTTTAACTCTACGCACTGTGGCGCGTGGAGTAGAGAGAGTGAGCTGTGAACCACAATGGTTGATGGTTCGAACCCCGGCTGCTCCATGTCACAGTGTCCCTGAGCAAGACACCTAACCCCTAATTGCTCCCCGGGCTAAAATGTAAAAACCATGGGTTAAAAATGCAATGTAAGTCGTAAATGGATAAACGTGTCAGCTAAACGACGTGTAATGTATTTAACACTGGGCAGATTTATTTTTGACACTTGTTCCGAGTTAACTTGTTAACACTTCTCAAGACATTTAGATTTGTGGGAAAAAAATTGGTTGAAAAAAAAATCGTCTTATCAACCAAAACTTTTGCGACCCCCCTGCAGTTCCTCCACGGACCCCCTGCTGAAGACCTCTGCCTTACAATGCATTAGCGTATGCGTAAGGTAGGATATGATACTATAACATCCATTGGAGTACGTCATGACCCCCCCTCGCCCTCCTACCTGGCGTAGTCGGGCAGCAGCGCCTGGTGGTCGTTCTGCAGCAGGCCCCTCATCTGGCCGAGGATGTCGAACCTCCAGTTGTCCAGGATGAGGGTCAGGTTGGCCACGCCGCGCATGTTCACCCTCTCAGCTGGAACCACGGGTCACATCACAGTGGTGGTGTTAATAAGGGATGAGTGAGCTACTAGCTTTATGCTAACGCTGAAGGTCAGTCAGTTGGTGCCGAGCTTCACGGCAAAGTCAAGACACGTTTAAGCTCTCGTTTTCAACACTATTCTCAAGTTAGGTGAATATATGGTTATTTGTTGTATTTATATATATTTTATAAATGATTGGTTTTAAGGTTGAAGGGACACTTAAAACGCTAAACATTTATCCATTTAGTTAGATTTTTTCTTATGATACAATTATTATTTTGACTGTTTGGCTCTGACCATAAATCTACTAAATGAGCATCATACTGTGTTGAAGAAGACTTTGAAACTAGAGACTGAGACCATGAACTCATGTTTACATTACATTACATTACATTACATTACACATGTTTACAATGTTTACTGAGGGAATAAATCAAGAGAGAAGTAGAGTCATTTTCTCATAGACGTCTATGGGAGCAGAGGAGTCGCCCCCTGCTGGTCACTACAGAGAAGTAGAGTCATTTCCTCATAGACGTCTATGGGAGCAGAGGAGTCGCCCCCTGCTGGTCACTACAGAGAAGTAGAGTCATTTCCTCATAGACGTCTATGGGAGCAGAGGAGTCGCCCCCTGCTGGTCACTACAGAGAAGTAGAGTCATTTCCTCATAGACGTCTATGGGAGCAGAGGAGTCGCCCCCTGCTGGTCACTGCAGAGAAGTAGAGTAATTTCCTCATAGACGTCTATGGGAGCAGAGGAGTCGCCCCCTCCTGGTCACTACAGAGAAGTAGAGTCATTTCCTCATAGACGTCTATGGGAGCAGAGGAGTCGCCCCCTGCTGGTCACTACAGAGAAGTAGAGTCATTTCCTCATAGACGTCTATGGGAGCAGAGGAGTCGTCCCCTGCTGGGTCACTACAGAGAAGTAGAGCCATTTCCTCATAGACGTCTATGGGAGCAGAGGAGTCGCTCCCTGCTGGTCACTACAGAGAAGTAGAGTCATTTCCTCATAGACGTCTATGGGAGCAGAGGGAGTCGCCCCCTGCTGG